AGAGAGAGAGAGAGAGAGAGTGAATCGAGACGAAGGATCGACAAACTCGTCGTTCGATTCATGATGCACTCGTGATGCGCGAGCGAGCTTTCGCCCAAATCCAACGTAATCCCGTGCACGCGTAACCGATAGAAGACGCGACGCGATTGGTGGGACGGTCGTAAAGCCTGGCCGTTTAACTTGAGCGGACGAACGAGCGGCCGTCGATTAGGACTGCGCGGTGGGCTCGACGCACGTGTCAATCACTAACTCGTCACGCGATACACCGATGAGAGAGGACCGCGCGCAAGGTCTGTTAGCGAGATGGCTTCCAGGTGATATACCCCTCGCGCTCATCCTCCTGCCACGCGCCGTTTCTACCCGATATCATCTCTCCACTCGTCTCCACGACTTCGATTACTATTTTTCCCCGACTGAATTGCCTCTTCCCAACCTGTCTAATCGCCTCGATCGTAGATATTTATCGCTACGACTCGCCGATTTATCGATCGGAAACACGAGTAGCTACTTCACGCCTCTATTCTCGATTTACATCGTTTGCACGGATACACAACGTCGTAACGTTGTATACGAGCTTGGAAATGTCTTTTGTATACCTAATAATTTCCTCGAAGCGGAAAAAATTAGAAACGAAATCGCAGTGTCGGGTAGCATCGTATCGATCGAATTCTCTCTGGTATTATTCGACAACCTGTATTTTCCTTCGAATACGATCCGGTGAATATTTTAGATAACGGATGTGTGTGTGTGTGTGTGTGTGCAAAGTCCGAAAGTTTTCCGAATCAGTCATCGCACGATTATTTCTTCGAGCGATATGCTTCTCGTCTCGCGAATTCTTCGCTCGTTCGTGGCGATGGCTATTATTCGGGGAACGCTCACGTTCGATTCGTTGGACCGATTACTCGAAGACGCGATCCCCGTTCTATTTCCACCGGTCAGAATGTCGTTGCATCTTTGTCGACTCGAGCAAGGTAAGAAGAGAGGAGAGGAAACGAGGCTTGAAATTGATCCTTTTTTGCTCGGTCGAACAACAACAAGACAACGATTTAATTTAAAATGATTTCACGCACACGAATTAACGTATAAAAGTTTTATATTTTAATATCTTGTGTATCGATTAATTCTTACACGTAAAGAGGAATCTTTATTCACGAAGCGATATTCTAAAGAAATCAAATGTAATGAATATTCGAGAATTATCGTAGCTTTGATTTCGCAGAGGACGCGATCAAATTATCCAAGAGGATGTCGAGCAAGCGTTTCATTCACGAGATTCGTCGAGAATTCGATGGATTCGCGGCAAGGACGCACGATAATTGGGAACATAGAGATTTGTACGTGTTGGATTTGAATTGCGATTATGCGATTCCATTGTTGCGAACGGTGCGTATATGTTCTCGAATCCTGAAACTGGACCGATGAGTCATGATTCGATTCGCAGGCGAACGAGACAGGTATGTTCTCCGCGCCGATGAAATGGCTGTTGCTTCGAGATCGATCGTCGGTCGTTGGAGATTCGAGGGACGAGAGGGAAACGTTGAAAGACATGGCCGTATATCCGGATAGCGAGGTGATCGTTGCGAGGAAGAGAATGGACGGTGTCGTGGAGATAAGCTCCGTGTACAGACCCAGTCCCTTCCACGAGGCGATCGAGGAGGATCGAGGAAACTGGACGATCGAACATGGCGTACGAATGCCAAATCTATATCCCTCGTCGCGACGAAGAAGAGATCTTCGACGCACGCCGTTGAAATCCTGCCTCGTGGTATTTTTCCTGATTATATCGATCGATCACGAGCTCAACTTAAGGATTAGCGAACGTACGCGTGCAAAGCTCCGTTCATTTCATTTCGGATTATAAAGTAATTGACTCGGTCGATAAATATGACGCGATAAGTCGATCGATAAGATATCGCCTCTCGAAAAGAGATCGGAGGAAACAAAGAGGTTTGGAATGGTTCTCGAAAGAACGCGATGCGTCCGCTGATCCGTTCGGTAGAGTGGAAAATTTACAGGCGTGGACGAATAAATCACTCTCTCACCATCCGTAGATGACCGATCCCGATACGATCAACCATTTAACTGATTATGAAAATAAGCATATAGATCCAGTTACGAAGGCCAATTATCCTTGGATAATGCACATAGCGAATCGAATGAACGCAACGTGAGTCGTTTCTTCTTCTCTTTCTCTCACTCTCTCTCTCTCTCT